AGAAAAGAATGATGACAACATATGTACACACGTGCTTGATACAATTGATGCATGGATTGTTTTAAGAGTTGTAAGAGCCCCCAATAAAATGGAAAAAAATAATAATAAAGGAACATCACCTTCCCAACATGCTTACAAAAAATGATTCAAAGGTTTAGGCATCCATATCGTAATTAGTGATGGTCTTTGGGTGGTGGGACTTTGATTCTTAAATGTTAAATTTCCAGTTTTAAAAGTAAGCCTGTACTGTTTTTAGGTACAAGAAAAGTGATTTATTTATTTTGATGTTCTCCTGTGGGTTTTTTCTGCTCCCACCTGCATTTCTCTCTTCCCTCCCCGAGTCCCACCTCTACCACCCTTTCTTTCTGCCTAGGCCTGGAGCTCTGGCGGCCTAGCGGTTGCTAACCATAAGGTCAGCCGTTCAAACACACCAGCTCCTCTGAGGGAGAAAGTAGAGGCTTTCTGCTCCTGGAAACATGTATTGTCTTAGAAGCCCACACGGGCAGTTCCACTCTGTCCTGTGGGGTCACTGGGAGTTAGAATCAACTCCATGGCTGTGGGTTTGAGCTTTTTCCTAGGTTTCTGTGTGGAGCGAGCAGTTAGCAATCAGCTGCTAATCTAAAGATGGGCTGTTCGAGCCTGTCAGGTGGTACTGTGGAAGAAAGGCCTGGTGATTTGCTTCCATAATGACCACAGCCAAGGACACCCCATGGAGCAACACCTGAGTCTGAAGGCACTTGACAGCATGGACGTGATTGCTTTGTTGGTTTGTTTGGTTAATTCTAATCCGCTTCACCTTCCTCAGCACATGCGCTCAGGAGCAGAGGAGAAAAAGTCCCCTCCCTTGCTCTCTAATGGCCTCTTCCCTTGTAGTCTCCCAAGGGGTGGCATGAGAGAGAGAGAGAGAGAGAGAGAGAAAGAGAGAGAGCGCACGTGCGCGCGCGTTCGAGGTGAGACAGCAGAGAATGGGACACGCCCCCCCTTTCCCTTTGCAAAAAAAAGAATTTTAGGATTGTATTTTAGTGTTTCTAATGGCTTCTAAAGTGATTGAACTAAAATTCTCTGATTTGAAATGTCAAGGCCACCAGGCTAGTCACTAAGGAGTCCTGGTGCTACGGGTTACAGGTTGGGCTGCTAGCCACAGGGTCGGGAGTTCAAAACCACCAGCTGCTCTGTGGGAGATAGAAAGATGAGACAGTCTGCTAATGCAAAGATTTACAGTCTCCGTAACCCTGTATAGGCTCAAGGAGTTGGAAGCCACTCGGGGACAATGGATTTTGTCATTTGGGCGGATACTGGTTCAAGAGCCCACTAGTTTTCCAGCTGCTCCGGCACCTACCCTGCTTTCTGTCTCTTGTTTAAAAACAGCAGCGCCTTTTGTGGGTCGCCCCGGCAGCCTCGTCTGTGTTGAAACTCTAGCTCTTCCTTGATTAGAGCCCTACACTCCTTGCACTGGGCTTCTAACCGAAAGGTCAGCAGTTTGAAACCCCCAGCTGCTCCACAAGAGAAAGATGAGGCTTTCTACACCCAGAAAGAGTTATCGTCTCGGAAGCCACCGGGCCCATTCTCCTCTGCCCTGCAGGGCTGCTGTGAGTAGGAATTGACTTTGGTCAGTGCCTCTTTTTAACACGCTGCCACTTTCAGGCCGTTCACTGTCCTCGGGCCAGCTTCATGCGCCCACCTGGGGGCCTGCCGTGGTTGATTCATTAAAAGACCACCTCAGTCACCACAACCCAATTTTCACAGAAGCAGACACAGCCAGGCTGATGTCTGCAGGAGTGTGGTTGAAAGACCTTCCAACTTCCCAGGGCACCTGCTAGCCTACTTGGGTTCAACATAAGAATGCTCACTAACGAGGCCACCAAGGAAGACTGACAACCAGAGGGCCTGGACCTGTTGGGGTGACTCTTCCCTGAATTCCAAGGTCCTTACCTATCAGTTTGGCTATCAATGAAGTAAAAAACATTTAAATCATCTAACCTTTTATTCCCAGTCAATTTATTTTCTTTTATTAAAAAAAAAAGAAGTGTTCTCAAATCCCAAATCTTGAGTACCTTCTATCAAAGTTTTGCCCAAACTTTTTGAAATCCCATCATATAAGTCAATTCCATTTTCAAGATGAGTTCTCCCTCCAATCCTTTACCGTTTCATCCTTGCCCAATCATGGGTGCTTCTCATGTGACCTATGCTAGGCCATGGACCCCCTTCCGCTACTCCTGAAATGTGACTTCATTCAGATCTTTCTTGGATAGAATGCTGGCAAAATTTGGTTTTGTCCAGATCCATTGAGCTCAAATAATGTCTAGATTTTTTTGTCCCCCCAAATGCCAGATAAACAATGGGTGTTGACCGCTAGCAAACAAACAAACAAACCAACCCACTCAGGCTCCATCTAAAGGTGCAAACAAGAGTGTGGTCATGCCCTACAATCTCTTTACGAGAGGTAGACCCAGGATTCCTCAGGTTGGTTTTCAGAGCTTTCAAAAGCCCCATTACCCACTCCTCAAAGAGGTCAACACAGAAAGACCACCAAGAACTCAAAACCAAACGCACTGCCACTCCACCGATGCCAATTCACAGCGACCCTCCAGGCCAGAGGAGAACTGTTCAGGAGGCTGTAAATCTTTCTGGGAAGAGAAGCCCTCATCTTTCTCCTGTGGAGTGGGCGGTGGGTTAAAACTGCTGAAATCATGTGGTTAACAGTCCCGCGCATAACCCACTCAGCCCCCATGTCTCCCCTGCCATCCCACCCTCAGGCGCATCCCGAAAAGAACGGAAAGCAAGAACACAAACAGAGACCTATACACCAGCGTTCATTGCGGCACTATTAACAAGAGCCCAAAAGGTGTGTCCATCAACATAACTATGTCATTTTCCACATAGTGGAATATTATCCAGCCATAAAATGAAAGTAGATTTTGATAGCTGCTGTAACAACTTGAATGAGTCTTGAAAATGTTATGCTGAGTGAAATAAGTCAGGCACTAAAAGTAAATATTGTATAACCCGACTGATATGAAATATCTGGAAGTGGCAATGCAAAGAGACCAAAGTTTATTAGTGTTTACGAGAGATGGGCAGGAGTGGGAGATGAGGAGGTCTTGCTCAAGAAGGAAGAGTTTGTTTTGGGTTGATGAAAAAAATTTGGATATGGATAGTGGTGATGGTTGGACAATATGGTGGATATAATGAATGACCCTGAATTGTACATGTAAAAATGGTTGAAATGGCAAACATTGTGTTATAAGCATATATTTCACTACACACACTCACACATACCAGCTCTGGTCTGATCCAGCAATTCAGACCCTACCACTTGATGCCCGTTCTTATTTTCGTGGCTTTGTTTGGTATTCATGTGAGATTGCCCATCTTAGTCTCCAGCCAGCCTGCTCATCCTTAATTCTAAAAATCCAACTCAAATTCCCCCTGCCGCAGGAAGCCCTGCCGGCCCACCAATATACAGGATGTGTACTGTGTGCCCATGCAATTCAACGAAATAACTATCTTCGTTTGATGCTACTTATATCTCTTCTCTGGGCACCGCCAGGGAACTGGTATTAGGCCTTCGGTTTTTCTGGAGCTCAGTGAGTTTCCTAAGACTGTGTAACAATGAAATATATGGTTAAAGGAGTGGCTTCTTACTTAGTGGGATTTCTTACTCAATTCTGTTAAAGACTGCATCTAATTTTCTACAGGTTCTGGGTCTATCCAAAGGAGCCCTGATGGTGTAGTGATTATGCATTGGACTGCAATCCACAAGGTTCAGAGTTGGAAACCACCAGTCGCTCTGAGGGAGAAAACTGGGCTTTCTATTCCAGCCAGGAGTTGCCGTCTCGGAAACTCACAGCAGCAGTTCTACCCTGTCCCACAGAGTCACTGAGTCAGCATCGACTCGGTGGCAGTGGGTTTGAGAAGTCTATCCAAAATAAGTCCTGAGGGCGCAGTGGTTAAGCACTAGGCCACCAACAGAAAGGCTAGAGATTGAAACTCACTGGCTGTTTTATGGGGGAAGATGTGGCGGCTGCTTCTGTCCAGATTCGCAGCTTTGGGAACCTTATGGGTCCTTTAGTCAGCATCAACTCCACGCCAATGGGTTTGGTGAGCTTTGGGTTAGGCCAATCCAGAAGCCATCAAATGGATCTCAGCTCCAGGTGATACAACACAGAACTGCACTGTAGCATTTCTCACCTGTCATCTTAAAGGAGCCTTGGCGGTGCTGTGTGGTAGACTGCTAACCACAAGGCCATTGGTTCAAAGTGGCCGCGTTGTGACAAAGATCAGGGTGTCTGTTCATACAAAAGGGGCAGCCTCGGAAGCCCTGGGTGCGGTCGCTGTGAGATCGAACGAACTCGAGGGCAGGGTTCCTGGTGCTGGTGTTGCATCTTAAGGAAGCAGATGGACAGGGCTGTCTCCCGTGGTGCCTCGGGGTAAGTTTGGATAGCTGTTGAGCACAGACCCTCTCGGACTGTAGACCACTCGTGGCTGACACGGACACCCTGCAACGGCCTGCTAATTTTCTCCCCCAAAGGACCGCGGGGATTCTTCACGTGCCTGTGTTAAGGGGCCCCTTTTCCCAGAGGGGTCCTTGCTTCCCCTGCAAAGTTGCTGGGTTATGATTTTCTTCCTGCTGCTAAATGGCAGCCTCTCCTGTCACCCTCTACCCCCAATCAGGTGTTACACAACCCACAATGCCTAATGTGATGCCACTCCAACCATCAGGGGGCAAATTGCCAGTTGTTGCTCGGGGCCCAGGTGAGGATGCCCCTCGCATCCTCTTGGTGCAGAATATTTTGATGTAGTTACGAAAGGTTCAGATTCAGTCCAGGGCCGCGGGCCAGAGGCTCCCTGGCACCGAGGGGAGCATGTGATGGGGGCGACCAGCGCCCGTGTTGTCAGGGCAACACCCTGCCTCACACCGGCCGCCTCATTTCTCTGACCCAAAGGTCTTTGTGCAGAACTTGCACATGTCTGACCCGGGGTGACAGATTCGTGCTCACCTCTCGTCGCATTTAATCAGGATCACGCTGTCCGTTCCGATCCCCAAGGCGGCAGCTCCTTTCTTGAGCGAAAAGTGGCTCTGTGAAAAGCACACGGACAGTCAGTCACTAAGCCAAGCTCGCTCTCCTCCCTCCTCGCCTGCCTTTCAAGTCTAGCCCATCTCCCCAAGCCTCCGTCTCTAACGGGGCAGTGTCCTTCGCTTGGGCTTCTTGGGGAGCATTATAAAGTGCTGGGAATCGCAAAGGAGACCCAAAGGGGTGCAAATAGCCACGAGCTCCGCTACTAACTGAAAGATGGGTGGTTCCAATCCAACTGTGGTGCCCCGGAAGAGAGGCCTGGCAATCTACCGAAAACCCCGTGGAGTGGAGCACAGTTCTAGTCTGACACACGTGGTGCCGCTGCCAGGGGTTTGGAAGGGACTCAATAGAAATGTTTATCCGTTTGGGGCTTTTTATTAGCATTTGCAAATGGGCTCCACACCTCCTGCACCACGTGGTAACCCCACGCCAGTTTTATATTTAAGACAGACTGTTTTTTGTTGTTTTTTTAAAATCATGTTATTGGGGGGCTCGTACAACTCTTATCACAATCCATCCATCCATCATGTCAAGCACATTTGTACATTTGTTGCCATCATCATTCTCAAAACATTTTCTTTCTGCTTGAGCCCTTGGTATCAGCTCCTCATTTTTTCCCTCCCTTCCCTCCACTCCCTCCCTCATGAACCCTTTGATAATTTATAAATTATTATATTTCATGTCTTACACTAACCAGTGTCTCCCATCACTCACTTTTCTGTTGTCCATCCCCCTGGGAAGGGGTTATATGTAGATCATTGTGATCAGTTTCCCCTTTTCCCCCCTACCTTCCCCTTACTCTCCTGATATGGCTACTCTCAGTATTGGTCCGGAGGTGTTTATCTGTCCTGGATTCCCTATTTTCAGTTTTTACCTGTACTAGTGTACATCCTCTGGTCTAGCCAGATTTGTAAGGTAGAACTGGAGTCATGAAAGTGGGGGGTGAGAAGGGGAGGAAGCATTAAAGAACTAGAGGAAAGTTGTTATGTTTCATTGGTGCTACATTGCACCCTAACTGGCTGGTCTCCTCCCTGCAACCCTTGGGCAAGGGGATGTCCAATTGCCTACAGATGGGCTTTGGGTCTCCACTCCGCACTCCCCCTCATTCACCATGATATGATTTTTTGTTCTGGGTCTTTGATGCCTGATACCTGATCCTATTAACACCTCATGCTCACAGGCAGGTGTGCTTCTTCCATGTGGGCTTTGTGACTATGTTAAGGGCCCCCAACAGATATATAGTAGTATATTGTATGTCTCCCAGGTCTACATTTTGTTACCAGAGGCTTATACTCAGTTTCGGCCAAGTGCACTGTCAGTGTGTGCATTCAACGGAGGAGAAGTGGGCACCTTCAGCCTCGAGTTACTGGGAGTCCTGTTAACTGTGCAGGTGACTATCAGTCGAGAAACCCCCCCCCCCCGCCCCCCAGGCTTTTGGAAGGAGGTGTCCAGTTCCTGATGGTGGCAAACATGCGTGTCTGTGTGTGCAGAGAGGAGAGGAGAACATGTCCTGCCGACAAGCCTCCAGCGGAGAGCCCAGACTCCTTGTTTGTGCTCCCGGTTAGTGATGCAGGGCAGGATATGGAATCTCAATGAGTGTAATCACCGGGCAAGTTGGAGTGCTGACAAGGGCTAAGCTAAGCCCAGCTGTACTGCATCTGCCCATCAGCCTCTTAGTATTAACTACAGACCATTAAGCTGTCCAAAAGGAGAGCTGTGTCCTCAATTTACATCTCCAAAGGGTTGCTGACTGGCATTTGTAAGTGCCGCTTCCAAAGAGTGTACGGATGCCCTCTGTGCCTGTGTTCACGTGGGATTCCTCGGAATTCTCAAACATGCAGCACACACGCTATTGACACATTTCTCTCTCTCTCTGTGTGTGTGGGGGGGGGCTAAAAAGCAAGTAGCAATCACCTAACAACAGCAAGCAGAGTGAAGCAACACATGAGACAGTGTACGGAACAGAGGGGTGTAAAAAGCCTGGTGCGACTTGAAGGAATGAGAAAAGGCTACCAGCCTCACGTGATGCCCTCGGAGAGACAGCGTGGACATCGCGAACGAGGGGTGAACGGTGAATTGCGTGCGTCAGGGCTTGTAAACACCCACAACTCGCCCCAATGCAGAAACAATCATCCAAACCGCATTCTCTCACCTCTCTGCCAGAGCCCTGAGCCGCCCTGGGGACAAGGACGCTGAGCGGGCACCGAGTCTGATTGCCAGGCTGGCACGGAGCAGAAGAGCCAGCTGTCCCCACGGAGCAAGTGCATGCTTCTCCAACGAAGCCCCTCAGTGAATGGACCTTACATCTGAAACTGCAAAATGGCAGACTGGGGCGGAGTAAGAGAGCTGGTGCACCTGGTCACTGAGAGGATGCATTCTTGCCTACTCTTTGATGAGGAAGACTAGTGATGCTCAAATGAGGAGCAATTACCCGAGATCATTGATCACTGTACCGAATGCCACAAATGTACAGGAGAACACATGCCCGGCTTGAAAGCTGAGGGATGGGGAACCGAGGTGCGATGAGGCATGAAAAAGAAGATTAGGTACTGAACACCGAGTTGGTTGATGTTTTCAGGAAAGGAAACGGAGCAAGAGCTAAATGTTACCCACAAATAGCCAGGGACCTACAGAGAGGAAGGAGCTGGAGGTGGAAAAAGAACACCCAGAAAGACGCTACTAATGAGGAAAAAAACCGGGAAGACAACTTAAACGGTACTGGTGGGAGACAAGTGGAGGACGGGTTCGCATCCTTGGCACCATGCTTAATAGAACCACTTGTTGATGAGCCAGAGGGAGCCATTTCCAAAGAGTCACCTCCTGGATGGCTAGGAGCCCGGAAACCAGGCGGCTAGAGAAAATCCGGGGAAATGGTGGCTCAGGGGTAGCATTCTAGCCTTCCATGCGAGAGAGCCCAGTTCGCATCCTGGTGAGTGACCCTCCTGGGCAGCCACCACCTCTAGGCCTGCAGGTTGCACATGGTCACAGTACTGAACAGCTCGAGCAGAGCTTCCAGACGAAGGCAGGTGAGGAGGAACCTGCCTCCAAAAACAAGCCCCCGCCATCCAGCTGATTTCAGTGCACACAGAGAGATCTGCCTGCGAGCAGAAAGCCTCGCCTTTCTTCCTTGGAATAGTTGGCGGATTTGAACAGCTGACGTTGCAGTGATCAGCCCAATCATGGCCAATGATGCCACCAGGACTGCAGAAAGCAGCCGATGAAGGTCCTATGGGTCACAACGGTGCATGCCGCCACCGTGGTGATGGCATGGAGCCAGGCTGAGCTTCATTTTGTTGTGCGTGGTGTCGCCAGACTCCAGGGAGGGCGGGGGTGGTGCTGGCTCAGTGGCAGGTAACAACAGAGAAAGCGCAGAGGATGCTTAGTCGTGAGCAGAGGGCATTACCAAGAGGTGATATGGGTCAGCCTTCTGATCTCAAAGACTGTCTCCAGGCCAGTGGGCCGTATATAGACGGGCCTGGCTGACTTCAGAAGACAAAACTTGAATAAAGTTGGAAGCTTCAAGGGTTCAGATTGATCCTCAAATAATAAACACTCTTCTAATAATTGGCTGTTACATCCATAGCATGGCATAGGAGTGAGCTGATGGGCCCCCCCATCCCCTTCCCTACCTTGATTGGGAACCCTAACAATACACTCCTGATAGAATCCAGTGCTTATTGATGACTGCTAATCTACATTTCTCTTTATTGTCCTGCATCACTGAGTCCACTCTGACGCATGGTGGCCCTGGATGTTACAGAGTGGCTGTGTGCTCCGGAGGACTTTCTTGCTATAATCTCTCTGCAAGCAGATCGCCAGCCCTTTCCTTCCAGGGCGTGGCTGCTTGGGCTCTAACTGCCAAGCAGAAACATTTGCACCACTTGGTTGCCCTCTTTTTAAGGAGAATATAAACGAATCCAAAGGAGCTCTGATGACAAAGTGGTTAAGCATGCGCCTGCCAACTGAAAGGTTTGCAGTTCAAAACTACCAGCAGCTCCAAAGAAGACAAATGAGGCAGTCTGCTGCTGTGAAGGTCTGCAGCCTTGGAACCCCTACGGGTCAGTTCTACTGTGGGGCCTCTGCGCGTCAGCATGGACTCTGCCCCAATGGGTTTAGATACTAAATCCATAGGACTTTCATGCTGTACTAAAGTGAAAAACTTGAGATTGAGGGAAGATGAATTTTTCTAACCTTTAAAAAAAGTTGTCATAGGCCATCTTACACACACACACACACACCCAGACCAAACTCACTGGCATCAAGGCAATTCCAACGCATGGTGACCCTGTAGGACAGGGTGCAAGTGCCCTGTGGGTTTCTGAGACAGTGACTCTTTGTGGGATTAGAGAGTTTGGGTTTCTCCCAGAGAGCGGTCGAAGAAGTAGCCATGATGCCATGTTCAAAACATATAAACAAATAAACAAAAATCACTGCTATCGAGTTAGAGCGACCCTACACGGGCCGTGTATGAATTACCTTACCTTTAGAATATATGCAAGTAAATGCAAGTGTTCGACTTATAAAAATGACTGCCATTTTTACAAATGGGCAGGCCCTCTGTGTTGGGTAGAGTGGGATGGTCCCCAGAAGGATGAGGCGGAGGGCCCACCAAGCTAGGCTGGCAGCGGAGGGGCTCAGCGTTCCGTTGAGCCCTCTGGGTGCAGCAGCTGCCCCTCTCATCTTAACGGAGACAGTGCATCTTGCTTGTCTCTAGGGACGGTGGGTGAGTAAGGTGAACGATAGAAAGGCTCTAGGACAAACCATCTCAGTTCTCCGGCAGAGCACTTTCTCTCCCTCTGTTAGAACTGAGAGAAGCACGTTGGGATTCTTAGCTTCAATGGCTGCATTCATTGTCAAGCCATTGTCAAACCGGTGGGTGTCAAGGCAACTCTGGACTGCGGTGACCCCCCATGAGCCAGAGTCGAACCGTGCTGCCCAGGATTTTCAGTGGCTGATGGTTTTTCAGAAGTAGTACACCAGACCTTTCTTCTGACATGCTTTG